GCTAAATAGGAGTTCAGGAACTGGGGAAAACAGGAACAAAAAAATTAATTTCCACGTGGATCTTTGAATTATTCTCATGAATAATGACAAAGTGTATATTATGTTTATTTATTTATTTATTTATTTATTTATTTATTTATTTATTTATTTATTTATTTATTTATTTATTTATTTATTTATGAATTTATGAATTTATGAATTTATGTATTTATGTATTTATGAATTTATTTATTTATTTATTTATGAATTTATTTATTTATTTATTTATGAATTTATTTATTTATTTATTTATTTATTTATGAATTTATTTATTTATGAATTTATTTATGAGTTTATTTATTTATGAATTTATTTATTTATTCATTTATTTATTTATTTATTTATTTATTTATTTATTTATTTATGAATTTATTTATGAATTTATTTATTTATTTATGAATTTATTTATTTATTTATGAATTTATTTATTTATTTATTTATGAATTTATTTATTTATGAATTTATTTATTTATGAATTTATTTATGAATTTATTTATGAATTTATGAATTTATTTATGAATTTATTTATGAAATTATTTATTTATGAATTTATTTATGAATTTATTTATTTATGAATTTATTTATGAATTTATTTATTTATTTGTGAATTTATTTATTTATTTATTTATTTATGAATTTATGAATTTATTTATGAATTTATGAATTTTTGAATTTATTTATTTTTGAATTTATTTATTTATTTATTTATTTATTTATTTATTTATTTATTTTTGAATTTATTTATTTTATCGATTATTTCGTAGTATAAATGAACAAGCGATTACGCAAGTGTGATTTAACCCGCACTCTCTCATAGGGTAAATAAGAACACGCGACATACACAGTTTGAAACCGTTTATATCGTGGAGCAGCTGAAAATAGTGAGTGCAATACAGAAACAATCAAAATTGTCAAAGTGTTTTGATACCAACCTTCAAATTGACTGTCCCTTAAATAGTAAAATATTTCAATTTTAACCGCAGCTGAGGACATTATATGAAAATATTGCTGGTCTCTTGTATAGTTTCTCGAATTCGTATAGATAGTCTACTAAGAGGATATCACGCAATCGTGTCGACCAACGCATTACGGTAATAGGCGTATAATTGATACTTACATACGTAACAATGTGGGTGCGTTTCATGTTTGTGTAGTTTGTGTAAGACGTACTTTGATTAGTATCCAAATTATGGTGTCTATTTCATTATGGTTTCTTTTAAATAGATTGACGTTATAGATACTGTGCG